GCCGAGCTGGAGTACCGGCGTCGACGGCGAGCACTTCCGGGATCGATCCCAGAAGATCGATTGCTTACCGCCGGACCCGGAGGTACGTGTAGACCTACCCTTAGAAAACATTTAGGTCATAGTGTCAAGCTTCCTCTGTAATCAGGAATGTTAGAAACCTGTTTGTTTTAAATGAAGTTTAGGTTCTTGCCTAATCACATGTCTCTATGAGCTGGGGTTTTAAAAAACACACCAATGACATGGGACTTGCAATGAAATTGTGAGAGTTGGCAACACGGAGTGACAAAACTCAGTTGGCCCAACTAGTTAGCAGCCCGGAGACTCCTATTGCATTTGTGGTTTTTACCCACTAATGCAATAGGCTTTACATTGCACCAATGTCTTTACATTGCACCAAAGCCACCCAATGGCTTTACATTTCCAGTCATCACACACACACACACACAAAGATGGGGCAATGTGGGAGGAACACTAGGAGGAGATTCTTGTGGAGATTTTCTTTCCTACAGTCCCCTCCTGTGCATTTTCCCACGGAGGATTTTCTGACCCAAAGTCAGTTAGAGTTCACTGCATAAGGGCACCCAAGATTTGGCCCCATATTTACAAACAAATTTCTCTGTGTTACAGATAACACCTTAGATTACAGAAAATAGAAGTATTTTTGAAATCTGATTTGTTTTCACTACTTATGCTGTTTCTTTTAGTATTTGCACCAACAAGGGGACAAGGAAAATAATAATTTTTCTTCACAGTCAATTCATATTTAATTTCCTATTATCTTGCCTTAGCAGAATGTTACAATATCTGAGTTGGGGAAAAGAAATCACAACTTTCCACTTAAATAAATATTAATAACAACAAGTTTCAGAGTAGCAGCCATGTTAGTCTGTATCCGCAAAAAGAACAGGAGTACTATAAATTCGTTAGTCTCTAAGGTGCCACAAGTACTCCTGTTCTTTTTGCTAATAACAACAAAACATTTTCACTGTCCCATGCTTTTGTAAAAGCTTATTTTCAGTCATCCTTAAAAGTGGGACTCAATTTGACCTGAAAATGTCCTTTTAATCTATGTAAAACAACTGTCTAAGAACAATAACAGCTGTATTAACAGAGGAGTGCAGCAATTCACACTTAGCATCTGCATCACAGTGCAATCTGCTACAAAGCTTAGCCTTTTGTCCAACCCCCAAAATAAAACACTGATGGTTTTACCAAGCGTCTGAGCGTCTTTCCTGATTTTTACCATTTTCAGATGATAGTCCCAAAACCAATAACGCTTCTCTCAGTGCTGACATTTTAGTGCCCAATCTCGAAAGGTGCTGAGCACCCTAGACTCAGATTAGCTTTGAGGGTGCACTGCTCATCACCTTGCAAGCTTGAGTACTTAGGGACTGAGCCTACACCATTGAGGTCAATGGAAGTTTTGCCATTGATTTCAATCAGAGCAAGATCAAGCCCTTGAAGTTTGGATGGTTTTTAAAAGAACCACACATAAAATGTAATGAATAACATAACATGAAATACTATACAATTGCTAATCACATATGTTACACCTCTTAAGACTAAAGTAAAATATCGCCGTTCACTGAAATAAAAAGTTATATTTCTAGCTCCTAAATTTGCTGAATCAGTTCAGGAATTTGGCAAGCTACTTGTCTGCTGCAAAGCCAGACTCTATGGTTTTTCTAATATAATGGTAAAACAAAATATTTCCACCAAAGTAACAATAAAACAAGCTTTCTGACCTACACTAGTTATTTTAATCTTCACAAGAGAAATATTTTATGATCTCTAAGAGACAGGTAGGTATTTAATTGTGATAAATTTCATCAAAATGGGGGAGAAAATTAGCAGACTTCCTAAAATTAATGAAACGTGTTGACGCCTGCAGGCCAATAACTTCCCCTCGGGGCACATCTAGCGTATGTTTGTTTAACAGACATATTTTGCTCAAATACTGTCTGTTGCTATTCAACATGCTACATTTTTCCTCGTTTTTTTTTAAAAAATGAATAAATAAAACCAAAAGATCCTAGTAATGTGTGATAAGAAACACCCCCCAAATGAAAGCAAACATGCAAAGCTTTGCAGTGTGTGCAACTTCAAGATTATAAACTGAGCAGTTTAAAAAACATGGCTTGTTTCTATGATCACATATAGCTTTCCTTAAACCCTATTTACTCACTTCCATTTTGTGCAGTGACTCCTACTGGCAAGATGGTGAACAATTTCTGCATGTGGGGGGAAGCAATCTAACAGCTGTTTCTCCTTGCAATGCCTATCAATATTCTGTGCAGCATTTATTCACTCATTCCAAAAGTAAAATGACCACATGACTGATATCCTGAAACTTACTATTCAACTCCAACACAAAAAGTATGTGCTCAGTCCTGTGGGGTGCTGAATGCTTCCTCAGAGCTTCTCAGCAACTCCACCTGCCATTGATTTCAGTTTGGGTAGTTGAGAGCACGCTGCACTTCGCAGAGTACAGCCCTGCACAGGATACTCAGATGCTTCAGCAGAGCACCACACTTGTTAATTCAGGCCATCATACATCACTTACCTGCACACATTCCTATTAAGGATTTTAAAAAATGTGCACAAGTTGTTTCAAGCCAGCAGCAGTCTTTAAACAAAGAAACTTCCAAAACATACCCCTATGGTATTATTCATAAGTACTTGATACCGCAATAGTTACTATGCAACACAGGATTGGGTGTTGGACCCAGTCCTGCAGTCTTTACTTAAGTACAGGTCCCATTAACTTCAGTCATATCTACCTAAACAAAAACTGCAGGGTTGGACCTATCCCCTGGACTAATCTCTCTACTGTATAGGACAGGATGTTTCTTTACATATAAAAACTGGACAGAGTAACTGGAAAATACATGTTATTTACTGAAAAGAACTGAAGAGATGTTAATTATCATCAATTGATACTTTTAATGCATTTGACACAAATCAAATATGACAACTTTGGAAAACAAGGTTTTAGCCTTTAAGATATTAGAAAAGAATACGCAGTGATCGGACAGTTATTCTTTGATTTATACCCAGGCTGCATTTTAATACTTTAAGAATTCATCTTAAATATTCATTTAAAAGATGCTATAGAAGACTCAAAGATGTTTATTTATTTCCATGAGTCTATTCTCCTCCAACTGCACCTTGATATTTCCAGTGACAGTTATATTTTATATTTTTACATGAAAGATGCAATACATAGTGTCTTTTTGACCAATCTATTAAAATAGCTGGAATTAATCAGTCTATAGGAAAATGGAGAATAGAATAAATTAGTTAATATCCAGCTGCACCAATTCAAAGACAGATTTATGCAATACTAAGTACAGAAGGGAAAAATAAGTTTACAGCACTACTGTGAAAGGAGCAACAAACTTCAAACTGCTTACACTGCAAAAATATTCTGCTTCATCATATTTATTAAAATTATACCATATAAATGCTCATCCCAAATGAATTTAACCCAAAAAGGGTTATTAAAGAAAATTAAACACTACTTTTTGATAACTAGCAACTAACTGGCATGGTAAATTACTGTGAGTTAAGTTAGTCATTATATTTGCAATCCTGTAAGACATAAAATGCCAAATTCTGTCCTGACCTATGCCCCTGAAATCCCACTTGAATAAATGGGATTTTAGAAGTGAAACTGAAGGCCAAATTTGGCCCAACATATTAGCTTACCCAGCCAACCTGTCACATGTCACTTTCTTTGTGCTTCCAGGTGAACAAGGAATGCCATGGCAATTGTTCTCTTATCGCATGAAAATACTGCACTGTTTTACTTTCTCAGAGAGTGAACAAAGAATTAATAATTTAGAAGGTGGCTCTCTCTTTACTTTTTTAAGAGGCTTTGATCTAAGCTTTAAACCATCATATGACCACAGTAGGGTGACCAGATGTCCGCATTTTATAGGGACAGTCCCGATATTTGGGGCTTTTTTTATATATATATATGGGCTCCTATTACCCCCCAGCCCCATCCTGATTTTTCACACTTGCTATCTGGTTACCCTAGACCACAGCCTCCTTATGCAAAGAAGATCCTAGTGACTGACACTGTACTTGGTTGCCTTTCACAAAAATGCAGATTTTTGTTCATCGTAAAACAAAACAAAGGCATATCAGGAATACAAGAAAATGTATAAGTTTGCACCATGAAAAGTAAGCTTTTTATCAACTATGTTCAAAACCAACTTCTCTCCCCTGACTCTTCTTTCTTAGATGGGAGCTCCAAACCATGAGGCTGGGGTATGCAACTGTTCAGGCTGTTAACTCAATTGTAATTTAGGCCCAATTGCATCGCACTGATTTTTGCCAAATCCCGCTGCAGACAAAGCCTCCAGAAAGTTTCCAAGCGGGTGTAATTTCATCTACTTCGGTGGAGTTACACTAGGGAGGAGTGTGACCCAGCTCCTTTTTTTGCTGAACAACCCTCAGCGCTCAAAGGTCTGACTACCCATGCAAAACAACCCCCCTAACACCAGTGAATGAAACCGCCAGTCGGTGGGATCAGCTACGCATGCAGCCCACTCCCCACAGCCTTCTTCCACCTGCTTCTGCAGCAGCCACCGTGCCCGCGAGCCCCGAGTCAGTCAGTCCCCTCCAGACCCAGCACGTGCAGGGAGAGGGTGCGTGCCCGGGGCGGTGCAGGGGGGACCCCGCACTGCAGTGCAGCCCCGTCTCTGCCGGTGCCCCCGCAAGCTGCTACCCGCTCCTTTCCAAGAGTCCTGCGCTTCCCGGCTGAGCTCCGCTGCCCAATTCCCAGCGTGCGGAGCTGCGGCTCCCCATCAGCCCCCCCTTTCCTTTGCATACACCCCCCCAAAAACAACCCAACAGCTCGGCGGGGGGCATCTCGGCAGCTGTGCAAACGAGCTCCAGCTGCCCGCGGAGAGCTGCTCCCCCTGGGCAACGGAGCGCCCCGCTTCGCAGCTGCGGGGGGCGCCCTGGCCGCGGCGGCGGGCGCCGGGGCTTACCCTGGAGATGGTCAGCGGGGTGCTGAAGTCCTTGCCCCCCACCAGCCGGAAGCCCCAGGGCGAGGGGCCGGTCAGAGCCACTGTCTGGGACATGCTGGGCGGGCTGGGGCGCGCTGCGACCGGGAGCGCACGCGGCAAGAACGCTCTGGCCCTTCGCCTCAGCCACTGCGCCGGCCAAGCCCCGGCCCGCCTGACGTCTCCGCTCCCCCTCCCCGCCCGGGGGGCGGGTCCCTGCCCGGGGCCTGGGTGACAGAGCCGCAGGCCGGGCACGGGGCCGCCCGCTTCCCCGAGAGCCAGAACCCCGCCTCTGCGGGGAGCGGGCCAGGGAGCAGCGGTGAAAGGCCAGGAGAGTGGGAGAGAGCGCGCGCCTCTCCCCCGGCTACTCTCCTAGGGGAGCTCGCCTGCTAAACCACTAAAGGTGCTCCCCTTCCCCTGCTAAACCCCTAAGGGTGTTCCCTCTCCTCTTCCCCTGCTAAACCCCTAAAGGTGCTCCCCTTCCCCTGCTAAACCCCTAAGGGTGTTTCCTCTGCTCTTCCCCTGCTAATCCCCTAAGGGTGCTCCCCTTCGCCTGCTAAACCCCTAAGGGGGCCCCCTTTTCTCCTTCTGCTAAACCCCTAAAGGTGCTCCCCTTCCCCTGCTAAACCCCTAAGGGTGCTCCCTCTCCTCTTCCCCTGCTAAACCCCTGAGGGTGCTCCCCTTCCTCTGCTAAACCCCTAAGGGGGCCCCCTCTCCTCTTCCTCTGCTAAACCCCTAAGGGGGCCCCCTCTCCTCTTCCCCTGCTAAACCCCTGAGGGTGCTCCCCTTCCTCTGCTAAACCCCTAAGGGGGCCCCCTTCTCTCCCTCTGCTAAACCCCTAAGGGTGCTCCCCTTCCCCTGCTAAACCCCTAAGGGTGCTCCCTCTCCTCTTCCCCTGCTAAACCCCTGAGGGTCGCCCCTGCTAAACCCTTAAGGGGGCCCCCCTCTCCTCTTCCTCTGCTACACCCCGAAGGGTGCCCCCCTTCTCTCCCCTGCTACACCCCTAAGGGTGCCCCCCTTCTCTCCCCTGCTACA